TCATCTTTCATCTATCTATCTATAATGCAGCTTATAGCAGTATCAAATATTTATATTTATAAATGTAAGGGAGCTTTGGTGGTCTAGTGGCAAGAAGCTGTGCTGCAGGAGACCGGTGGGCAGCCTCCGCCCATACGATTAACTTCCTCTGAAAACCCACCGGAGGGTCAGCTATGGCTGGGTCCTGACTCTATGGCACACAGAAGCAACAACAACATGTCAGTGTTCCAGCGTGCAGCAGTGTCTGTGACACTTGTAAGGGTATCCAGTGTGTCATGTTCTGTTTGGGCGGTAGGAGTGTCCAGTCATTCCCTGTCCCTTGAGAAGTTGGACTGCTCTTTGTTTCTGACAGGCTTTGGCCCTGGAACCTTCTAACGTGCTTTGTGACGTGACACCCGCTGGGTCACGTAGATTTTAGTATCTGCAGCAGAAGCTTTACTCGGAGTTTGCTTTCCTGGCCCATGAAGGAAGTTAGCTTTTCAACTTAGGAAAGAATGTGCACAGATTTTCTGGAGGGAGGCTCTGAGAAGAAGATGGTTGTTGTGGTGAGGTGTCATTGCGTCAGGTCCGAGTCCTAGTGTGAATCGGTGTGAATTCCGGTGTGCACGGAGCCGAGCCCTGCCCCGCACAGCGCCGTCCTCACCTCTGCTCTGCACCAGCCTGTCACTGCAGTCACTGTCCGTCCGTCTTGTTGAAGGTCTTTCTCATTTTCCTGGGTCCTCTGCTCTACCAGGCATGCTGCCTTTCTCCAAGGGAAATAGATCCCAGGGGAAAAAGATTGTTAAAAAAAACAAAACCTGATGTTAGGAGCCGTCAGGTCAGAAGGGACTCCTAACTGACTCTCCAGTAAGTATTCAGAGGCTGCAAGTCACGTGGAAGGAAATCACCTGTTTTTCTCCCTCAAAGCAGCTGGTGGATTCAAACCCCCTGCCTTTGGCCTGACAGCACACAGCTCACTACCCTCTAGGCCACCAGAGCTCCCTAAAGAAGAAAATTGTCGCTTGAACTCTTAGCACTTAGAGATAACTCATGTTAATACATTTTTTTCCTTCTAGTGGCTACAAGAGTGTGGGTACATTTAGAAAAGGAAGGCTTGTGCAATGTAAACTTGGCATTTGAAAGTACTCCTTGTTTATTTTAAAAGTCTCTGTTAATTAGGAGTGGGGCACATCCGCTTACCTTTTCAGAGCACACGCAGGGCGGTGTTTGAGTGTCTACTGGACCGCTAACGAGGACTGTAAAAGACACTTTCTCACTTCCTTTCCGGCTCCTAGGTCATTGTTATGAAGAGGTCTCTGGGTGTTGGCTACGCTGCAGTGGACAATCCGATCTTTTACAAACCCAACACGGCCATGCTGCTAGGCGATGCTAAGAAGACGTGTGACGCACTGCAAGCAAAAGTCAGAGAATCCTACCAGAAGTAAACGCCGAGACAGTCACAGTACATCAGGCCACGTCTTCCGTCCCGTGACCCGCAAACAATGTGGCCTTGGACAACTCGGAAGGCTCTGTGGAACGGGAACCAGGAGGACTTCCTCAACATCAGTGGGCCCCTGGTCTTAAAAGGGGGTTCAGAGTGTCTCTGTGCCTATTTTTTTTGTGCTATGGATAAAAGTATTTGATAAAAAGAGCAATCACAGCCTCATTTTAGATGAAATTAGTTTTTAGATGAAATACAGATTTTTAAAATTCCTCTTTAGGCAGAATTGTATTTAGAAAGTAAATGTTTGAGGTTTCAGAATGTACATTCTACCCGGTCTGGAGAAGCTAGCACAGTGGGAACATTGAGCACACTTGGATTTGTATTTTTTTTCCGCATCAGCTGTAATAATTTGAGACTTTTATCCACTGCTCAGCTGCCCCCTTGCAGTTTAACCGTTGTTTGAACGAATCTTACCAAATTGGTTTCCGTTTTTCAAACTTCAGGTTCTACATTTCAGGAGTCCGTTTTACTATTTCTATGTTATCAAATGCATTAAGTGGCTAAAGACTCTTTCTGAGATGTTGGAAGTAATAACTATCTATGTTTTGTTAGAAGACCCAGGAGCCAAGTGACTGGAAATCAGTGTTAGCTATCTTTTTGAAAACCCCATTTCCAGTAAGAGGTCTTGCCTTACTTGCAGTTTGTACTGTATAGTGCTGTTCACTGAATGTGCACTTGTGTGGAATTCAAATATTTGACTAATAAAATGATTCATCATGATCACACAATGATGGAGCAATTGTGTCTGGTGACAAAAGACTAAGATTGGATAGTTCTGCTTGTTATTACCGTCTGGGGAAGCGTCGCTACCATGAAATTGATAAAAGGAGTCGGTGAACTGTTGGCAAGAACAGGAGTGAGTCCTGAGGCTTCCTGTCACTGATGGCATGTGCGGGAAATCATAGCCATGATCCCAGCTACCTCCGGGTTTGTCCGAACACCAGCAAACAGCACGCCTTTCTGAAGTAAAAGTCTTGATTGTCTTTGTGATTTTGCTGCTTTGCTGTATATGTGCTGATTATGTGGGCCATATCTGTAGTGTCTTTCTCTCTCTGATTTTGTACTAATTTGCTAAAAAGAATTAAACAATTACACCCAAGACTGTCTCTAATCCAGAAAAAAACAATAACTGGTGCAGCATTTTTTTTCTTTTCTGTCATGTCTGTTTTCACCCCGTTTTCAACTCAGCTTTCTGCTGATTTTGTAATTACCTTTATTTAGCTGTGGCTGAGATGAAAATGCAAATATGTGTGTGTATGTGCGCAGGTGTCGAGGACTTCCGTTCACAGGGTCGCTAGGAGTCGTCCATGACTCGTCGGCACTTAACAACAACAACGACACGTGCGAGTGTGTGTTAGGACTTAAATGCAGGGTTTGGCCGGTGAACACAGTTTGTTGAGGGCTCTTAGGCCTCTGGGCACCTACCTAAGGCCTGAACTTGGTAATGCAGGTGTTCTTAGGAGAGCTCAGCCACAGTCTTCATCCCAGGCCACTTGCTTCTCTCGGCGTCTTCTAGGCAGACCTGCAAAGTGGTAGCTTGCTTTTTTTTTTTTTTTAAATAGCACTTATATTCAAATAAGATTAAAAATAATCTTATTTTTGTCATTATTTTGTGTTTGACGTAGTAAATTCACTTCTCTGAATTCCTCTATTATACTCACATTTATTTGGTTTTACTCCTTTGGTTGGGGTATTTAGAGGTGTTTTGGGAGGTATTGTTTTTGATATTAAAAGTTATAAGCAGCTAAAATAGTTTTCATCCACCTTATTTTTTATTTCTCCATTTGGATACCATATGCAACTGGTTGATAGGACTTACTTTTATTTTTGAATGTTTCATATCATTTTTTCTTTCTACTATAAATAATTTTTGAAATCATTGTACCCTTCAATCTGATGCCTAAAAATGATGTGTAGATAGTGAAATGCTAACATTGATTTGCTTTTAAGTTACATTAGACCATCCATTTTTATTTATTTTTTTTTTGGTAAGTCTTGAACATACCATGGACGCCGAGAAAACAAATGTCTGTCTTGGAGAGGGTGAAACCAAGTCTCTCCTTGGAGGCTATGATTCTGAAGCTCTGTCTCACATCCTTTGGGCACATGGCCAGGAGAGATCAGTCCTTGGAGAAGGACATCATGCTCGGAAGGGTAGAGGGACAGTGCAGGAGAGGAAGAACCCGGATGAGATGGATTGGCACAGTAACAGGTAACAGGGTAGGTGGTCAGAGTCAGTGTGACTGGCTCAGGACAGGGCAGGCTGCAGAGGTGCTGGACACAGGGTCACTATGAGTCACAGGTGACTTGATGGCACATAACAACAGCAACAACAAGGAGCTCTGATGGCATGGTGTTTAAACATGAGGCTGCTAAAGGAAAGGTTGTTGGTTCAAATCTACCAGCTGCTCCATGGCAGACAGATTCAACAGTCTGCTTCTGTAAAGATCACAGCGTAGGACACTGTCAGGGACAGTTCCTCTGTGCTCTGTGGTTGCTGTGAGTTAGAAGCAGCAATCTCCCCTGAGTGTTTACAGCCTCCAGAAACCCGCTGAGGGTCAGCCCTGAGTTGGTCCCCACTCCACGACTCACAACAACAATGACAAAAAGTTTTGTTTTCCACTTTGTCTTAATTTGAGAGTTTGTGTTTAAATTACAGAATGCCCCAGAAGGGTATGTGTATGCATTTCCCCCTTAATTTTAGTTTCTTTTTAAATTTTTATTTTATATTTATTTGCATACAAAATTTGTATTTAGTGTTTCACACATTCCTTTATTCATATTGTGTTTTCTACAGCCATTCCCATACATTCTGTTTTATAAAATTAGTCATCATTAAACCATGCCGACCCTTAATCGGTCTTTTCGGGTCCCCACCAGATCTTTCCCATTTCCTTTATCCCCACTCCCATCACCCCCAAAATTGTGTGACCCTGTGATTTTTTCCCTGCTTGCCCTCACCCCTTTGCTCCAACCCCTTCCCCTCATAATGCCCACACACATTTTACTAGTTACCCTTCTATTTTTGAACTCTTGTGGTCTAGTGGCAAGAAGCTGTGCTGCAATGCCGAGGACACTCGGTTCAAGGCCACCAGCTGCTCCGCGGGAGGAAAATGGGCAACAATAAAGGTCTCATGCAATATTTGTCCTTATGAGACTGAGTTCACTCAGCGTAATGCTCCCCAGTCTCTCCCAAGTTACATAGTATTTTTTAAAATCATTGCCTCTGAGTGCTGCGGAGTATTCCATCAAGTGCGTGTATCACAGTTTCTCATTCCATTTGATTAAGGTTGGACATTTGGGCTGTGTCAGTTTCTTGGGACCATGAATCATGCTGCTATGAACACTGGGTACAAAGCTTCATTTGTGTCTCAGTTCTAATTTCCTTGGAGTATATTCCTAGCAGTGGAATAAATGGGTCATATGGAATTTCTGTATTCAGCATTTTGAGGAAATGCCCAACTGCCTTCCAGAGTGGTTGTACCATTTTACAATCCCACAAAACAGTGTATGAGCATTCCAATCTCTCCATCCTCTCCAACATTTACTGCTTTCTGTCCTGTTAACCTTTGCCATTTCTACTGGATGAGATAATATCTTGTTGTGGCTTTGATTTGCATTTTTCCTATTGTCAGTGATTTTGAATCTCAAAATCATGAAAGATCATAAGAGACAAAATGAGACCAGGCTGAGAAGGCCTCATCTATGGTATAAAGAGCCTGACAAAACAGCCAGAAATACACAATCAGGAGAAGATACAACTAAGGCATGGGACCTTCTAAAGATTAAATCCCTTTGTGCCTGAAAACCTTTTTCTAATAGGGAAAACCTGCTGACTGGGAAAAAAAACCACACATGCCTTTGGAAACTCGATGAACTTTGATAAATGTCGATAGTTGTAGAGGGGCTTCAGGCCTTTTGTTCATAGGGTCTCTATGACGCGTGCTCGACTTGAAGGCAATTAACAACAATAACACCACCACCACCACCATTTCAGGCTAGGGTCTCAAAGTTTACAGAATGCTTCAGGAGCTCCTGAAGAAAAAGACTGATAACCCAGTTACAAAATGAGCAAAAGTCATGAAAACACTCTTCACAGAGGAAGAAGACATTCATTCAGATGGCCCACAGACACGTGAGTTTAGTTTTTAAAAACCATTTCCTGGACCATTTATTGCTGTTTGTGGCCATTGAGTGGCTCTGACTGAGGTGGCCCGTGGAGAACGGAACCTGCCTGATGGAACAGCAGCCTCGTAACCTTCGCCGAGCTCCCGCCCACTGTTAGGTCGCTGTGTCAGTCCATCATCGAGGGCCGCCTTTTTCACTTCCCTTCTGCTATCCCACCCATGGTGACCTTAGCCCGAGACTGGCATCTCCTGATGATAATGCCCGTAGTGTGTGAAACTTCTTTATTCTACAAAGTTTTTCCTCTCTAGGGGTTGGCATCAGATGCATAATAGGTGATTGCGAAGACCATGGCCTGTATCAGACACACCTTAGTCTCCAGAGAGACACCACTGCTCTGCAGCACTTTGGAGAGGTCCCTAACAGCAGACTTTCCCATGGCAATGCACCTTTTAATTTCCTGGCTGCTGGTGCCAAGACTGTTGACTATGGAGCCA